CGAGATTTTAGTCTATTTTTTTGTGTATACATTTTGTCAGATGTTCAATACTGCAGCACAGACATTGGAAGATAGGAAAGCTTGTTTACTATAAGGATTTTTTCGACAGTCCACGGTGTAGCACAGTGCAGTACCGCGAACTGCTTCTCAAATTTTCGCGAAGAACGGGAAATAGGAGAAGGCGGATATGACGTCATCCAAATGTCAAAAAATCACGTGGTACGGTTAACCGCATAAGCTCGGTGAGTTACTAGCAGGTAACAGGTCTTATGTCAATGTCATTTGAAAAACAGACGTCTCAATTGAAAATTTGTCTTCGCAGTTCCAAAAATTGAGTGATTTAAATTATTAAATCATAAATGGAGGAACATTTCCATCTGATTATGACGAGGGAGAAGATCATCGTAGATATAGGAACCGCACTTGTCATATCAAACGGTTGATTTTATTGATATATACATTTCACAAAAAACTTTTTTATTTCAGAGAAGGCAGCTGAGTTTATCAAAGAGTTTAAAGCAAACATTCTGCGCAACATGCGCCATCTAATCACTCCCGGTGTAGCTTAAAACTGTCAAAACTTCGAGAGGAGGAGAAAATTTCATCTGTTCCTGCTCCATTCACTACGGGATCCCGCGAAAAAATCTTTTATGTGGTTTTGAACTTAATGTGCAGCTCTCAGGTTCCGTCAGAAAATCACTTCACACATAACCAAGGGTACAAACTTCGTTATTCTAACACTTCATTCTTATAATACATAGATTTTTTAATCGACAAACATTCGGCTCCGACCGAAGGTTATGATAAAAGCTGAATATCGGTTTCGGACAAAATATTGACCTTTGTTTGGACCCTAATAAGGTGGTGCGGCATACGAAACTAACAATCCGCTATAATTTTGGAAAAAAGTAAACCTTAACGTGGAACATTTTGTGTCTTTGAAAATACATAGTTCCCGATAGTGTATTCAAACCTCAGTTAGTTCGCGTCCAGCCGAGTAGGCAGAAGCTCAAATGCCAGGGTACCGCGGCTGCTATGAGGAGCTTAAAGAAACTTTGTTAATCAGATTTTTCAACTGTCTAAGGTTAGTAGAACTAGGAAAACCCTCTTCATGTAGATTGTTTTACAATCTCGATACCCTAGGGACAAAGGAGGGTTCGTATGGGCCAGTTCTGGGTGTACGAAGTTGGTTCCGGAAATGTAGAGATTTACATTTTGTACAGTTATTATTGCACTAATTATGCGTGAAGTTCCGCCATACTGCTATCGTCAAATAGAATTGACTCTGTCGTTTTGATTTTTATTAATAACGTCGATTTATTAATGAAAACCACTTAGCTTAGGGATTTCAGTCATTAAATCGTAAAATTTCATAATATACCAGAATTTTGAATCTAAAGGTAAAGGTTTTATAGTTCTGGCAGCAGTAAAGATTCTTGGAGTTCGAATGTGTGTTGACGTTAATCTGCAGTGTAATCTTACCCCATTTACACCTCATGAAGCGAATAGAATACACGACCGAGAGCTCAGGTTTGTATTTTCCAGTGTAAGAACATCCGTGAACGTTTGCGGATTGGTCCTTCGAGCCGGATACCTCCTAGTTTCGCCCAAGGTCGACTATCGGCCCAGAACCAATATATGGTAGCAGAACGCACACTACAAAAGGCATTGTAATTTTAGTCTTTGAATCGGATAACTACATGTTCTGCTCACAAATTGATGGACGAGCTTACATAATCTCTCATTTCAGTATAGGGTGAATCTGCCAGTTACCCGGATACTACCAGTAGTCGGACAAATGTTATATTATTGGTAAAAACTTGAATATTTGAAATTCTATACTTGCAGGTAATTTGTACCAGATTTATCAACGAAATTGTGACAATTTGCAAAAATTTCACATTAGTCATATTGAGAACAAACAGTATCAGCGCGTAGCATGCATTGGATTCCTCAATTTTTGTCATTTGCATAGTGAGTGACATAAACTTTAAAGGCAAGTACCATTGTCAGACGACAATATACAGGGTGGCCCATCCATATGTCGACGGAGTATTACTTATAAACAAATACATTTTGGGAAAATGTATTTATGGGATACATGACATTTGAGGGCACATTTCCAAAATATTTGTCATTATACAGGGTGTCCAATTCCGATCTACATATCAGAGTTGCGATTTTGTAAATGGAATGCCTCAAATTTTATTGCATATTTAGATAAACCAATTCAAAAGAAGAAGATTGATATAACATTCTATGAGGTTTTGATAATTAGCTACTAAGATATAAGGTGTTTTATCCAGAAAACCGTCCATTTCGTCAACCCCTCAATCCGCTATTTTGATATTTGGAGTGCTGAGTTTTGTATTAAAAAAACTTACGTACCTCAGCTTTCATCTTGTTTGTTACTTTTTCGAATTTTCACTTTTGCTCATACAGGGTGGTCAAAAACGTGAATTGTCCTTTTTTTCAAAAATTTCAAAGCATCAACCTGTATATTTGTGCAAGTTTGGATTCAATTTTTTATAAGCTTTTTTGGCATAAGGTTTGATTCAGATAAAATCACTAGATTTTGAGTTATTTGATAGAACATGCTGTTCTTGTTACACATGCAGAAGGCATTCAAAATTTACGAAATAAATTAGTCGTAATATGTTATTTTAACATTTTGTCAAAATCCGATAGTCGGAAAAGTGTCTGACTACTGGAAAGGTGTGGTTGTTGTCAATCTATCCTTTTTTGTATAAACATAGAGACTAGCAAAAGATGATAAATGATGTTACTATATTGTTCAACTATACTAAGTGACATATTAATCCGAACACCCAGTTTAAATGGTTTTATTTTAATAAAATTTTGTTATAAGTACTTAATGAAGCATAATAAGTAAATGATAAAAATTTCAAAATGATTGCACTGCTTTAAAGCCCTTTGACCTTTAATAAGGTGTGGATGCTCCCTGATGTGCTACGCACATTCGTCGGTAAACACTTCGCATGCCAATAGGTCTTCCGTGTTCTGCAAACCATTCCTTTGCAATGGACCTGGTAGTGGAGAAACGGTCCCTTAAGGCCAATAATCTTAGGCGGCGATCTTCACGGTCTGTTGTTCTACGGCGGCATCCAGTGCCCCTTGCTCTTTGCGTACGGCCTTCTCGAAGCCATGCCTGACAACACCTAACCACAGTGTCTACACTTCTTTGCATCTCAAACTGCAATTGCCCGAAACGAAAGTCCAGCTTCCCGAAGTCCCACTATACGGCCCCTATTAAACTCACTAAGTTGACGAAATCGTACAGGTCTCCGTACTCTAGGCATCGTAACCGATCGTAAAGGATGTCAAGAACCAAAATCCGCCAACGTTGATTCTTTACTGCGGCTGAATAATTCATTTTTAGAGCGTTAGTGAATTAAAAAAAAGCAGTATAAAAACCGGAATGTCCAACTGATAAGGCTGAAAATTTTTTCACTTGTTATTTACAGTAAGATAAATACATTCACCAACTTTTATTAAAATAAAACCATTTAAACTGGGTGTTCGGATTTATATGTCACTTAGTATATATTGTTCACTGCCATTGAAGCTGTATGATTAATAAAAGTCCTGAAAAATGAAGATATGAGAATAATATTGAATAAAAATAAGAACACCTAAATAAAATCTATGTTACAAGAATTGCAGTGGTTGAATATAGAAAATTTCATATCATATTTGGTTCTTATTTTTATATTTGAAATAAAATATCATATTTTGCCACAACACTTAGAACACTACATAGAATTGAATAGTCATTACCACAATTGTTATACAAGAGGAAATATAGATTTTCATTTACAAAATTGCAATAGTAATATAACTAGCAAATCAATATTTCAGAAAGGATCACTTGAATTTAATAAACTAAATATGATGTTTAAAAGAAAATTGAAGGAATATTCCATAGACAGTGAAAATTCTTAGAGATGCAAATTTTGTTTTTTTCTAAATATTTGTATGTTATGTAATTGTTAGTTTTTCAGAAGAATGTAATTGTAGCAATCATGCAAAATAAATTTAAAACAAACAAACAAATTATGGCCAGTGATATTGTGTCCGACTACTGGAATGATCGAATTTTTGATAGCACCTCAATAACCGCCCACTTCCATTTTCCCGCCATTTCATTCGGGAATGGATACCAAGAAAAAAATAAATTCCGCATATTTAGTGGAGGCAGGTTAAAGGAGACAATCGAACCTGTGAGTATTGTTGGAACAATGCCTGAAATATGTAAACAGTATGGCAGTTCAAAGTAGACAGTGCAGGACCTTATTGAAGGAAAAAAATTATTTCTTGCTCATTTTTCCGTAGTTTGTGTGTATTTTTGATAAAAATATCTGTATTAAATACGTATGAGTGTGTTGAAATCCTTTTCCTCAAAGCCTTAATGACAACTGATATACAGTTCTGACTAAAACTTGCCAATCAAATGCTGTCCGACAATAAATTGGAAACTAGCCGACCGACCACTAGCACCTTCTGTCCGAGTACTGGCAAAATAGCACCTTTTTGATCAATATCTTTTTATAACATCACAGGGATATCTACACCTATAAGAAATATATTTGTTGTCGGCGAAAAGTTGAGAAAATATAGTTAGATAGATAGATAGATAGTAGTTTTATTGTCCAACAGTGGCCCATTAACAGGACAATATCGATACGTATTTGCCAAAGTAACGTAAGTCACCAAAAACGATTTAGGAGAAAAAACGTGTTTTTAATTTAACCTGGTTAAACATTTTTAAATTATGCAAAATTTACCAGAGTGTTTCTCTGAGGTCTATATTTAATTAAGAAAAATTATTTTTCTATAGTTTTAGTGGTTAATTGATACTTACGTTACTTTACGGGTTCAAAAATCTCGAAGTCTTGATCAAAAATGTAACGTAAGTACACAGATACGTTTGGCGGCACATTGTAGCACTTAAAGTATTTTGGAAGGAATTAAAAACTATTGTTTATTATTAAAAAAAAACACAAAATAACGTTACAAAAGAAAATATGAAATAATTACTAGTAAAAAATATATATTTTTTTAAGTTTTGGAGCTTTCATCTTCATTGTCATCCTCTGCATCAGTTTCTGCTAACTCATCTGGAAGAGAAGACTTACATTTTAATTTAATGAATTCATCGTGAAACTTGGCAGGTATGACACTGTTTTTGCAAAGTTTTTCCAAATCCCTTTTCTTAATTTCGGATATTGGAAGCCGTTGTTTATAAATTTTTCAGGTTCAGCAACTGCCTTTTCTTGCCGCTTTCGACCTTAAACAAAGAAATACTTCAGGATAACTTGCAAATATGTATTCATTTTTTATATTTGTAGTTCATTAACAGTTTTCTGTATTTAATAAAGTCTTAATAACACGGGAATTCCCTATACAGGGTGTCACTAAATTAGTATTCAAAACTTCAACCACCAACAGAACATTAAAAAATATGTAGATGAAAAATTTGCGATAAACATGGGTCCGGAAACGTTTCATTTCCGATATACATTGTGTTGAAAATACGTTAAAAATCAGTTTTTCTCTTATAATTCAGACAAGATGTTTTCGAAAAATTTTTTCTCTTATTTCGGTGGTACCCATTATGAGAAGAAAAAAATCTTAATTATCTAACCAGTGGCGTAGTTACTTAATACGTTGAAAAGTAAAATAGCCTAATTATTTCGCCAATGCATTTTTTATAATTTTAATAATTCATTATTATTGCTCACTTTATTTAGAAAAAAGAGTACTGTGTCAAACTTTTGGAAAAATCAACCGTTTCTTTGTTTAAAAAAAACCATATTAGTACTAAGTAATATTGAATGAAAAATATCATTTGTCTTAACTACAAGTTTTGGTCTAAAAAAATAGTAGGATATGCTGATTGTTGATTGCTAATGGCATTAAAAATATTGACAAAAAAAAATTCGAAAATACTTCTAATTCTAACTATAAAAAAATGTCGTTATTATTTACTTACATAAAATCAATAATTAGTCGATGGTAGCACGAACCTAACACTGTCGTAAGCCAAACACTGACTGCAAAAATCTGACGTAAGTCGCAGAAACCGACCGGGACTTACGTTATTATGGCGGTAAAAAACGTTAGCTTGCATTACTATGATGGAAATAGTGTTGAAGTTACGTTTCTTTTACGGATATGATTGAAAAAATTGTGGACATTCGTTTGCAAAAAAAGTTAAAAACAAAGGTTTAAAGAAAAATCTGGGCTTCCTACACTTTGGCAGTACCTTCTCAACAATAAAAGTCTTACGTTAATGGAAAAACATGATTTTCACCAAAAATTTCACTTACGTTACTTTGGCAAAAATGCATCGATATTATACAAAATCCATACAAAAGATACAGAACAAACTACATAACAAAACAAAAATATCTCGTGTATATCCTTGACCTACGTATGTATTAGCTATCCTAACTAATTCTTTGTTAGAAGTAGAAAATATGTCACAGAAAGTACAGATTCTATTGAAATTTTTCAACATATTATTTAGCGACAACTTCAGTGAAATATTTGTTCTTGCCCTTATAGCTCTGAACGAGAAGTGAGTACGCGACGCAAAAGTGGGTACACTGATGTTGATCTATCCACGAAGTGAGGGACTGTCAATTAGGTTATTTAAAAGCTTAAACAAAAGTATCAATGACGCGCAAGTCCTACGCTGCTCCAGAGGTATAAGATCACCACGACTGTATAGCTCGGTATGGGTAACACCCCTTTGTGGGTAAATTCCATCAATTTTATAAACTAAGAGCTTAGAAAATCTTCTCTGTACTTTCTCCAAACAACTGCATACTCCAGTTTAGACATCACAAAAGCAAAATACAGCAGCTTAATGGTTCTTATGTTATGGAAGTGTCTACAGTTTCTAACAACAAATCCATATTACTGTATAGAATGTGAAACTAATGCTTCAATATGTTTACGAAATGTCAACTTGTAATAAAAAATCACACCTAAATCCTTAATAAATATGAAGTACAATCATTCAAATCACCCGCAAAACATAAACGCTAACTCTGCAAATTTTCACATAAATCATTGATGAATAGCTAGAACAGCAAAGGACCCAAATTTGAACCTTGTGGAACACCGAATGAGGCTAAGTAAGTATCAGAACGAAAATTATTAGATATAAGAAACAAATTGCCACCTCGAAGATAAATAAGATTCAAAACGGTTCCTAGCATCACTAGAAAAACCAAATTTAATTAACTTTCCAAGCAATACATCATGATTTATTCGATCAAAGGCCTTCGAGAAGTCCGTGTAGATGACGTCAACTTCACCATTGTTGTCCAATGCCTCCGAAATATATTGCGTTATGGTAACTAGATTTGTAGCAGTTGAACGGTTTGTAATAAATTCATGTTGATGTTGTGAGAGTTGATAATGCGCCGAACTATAAATACTATTGTAAAGTATTATATCAAAGACCTTCGAGAACATGCACAAAATGGAGATCGGACGATAATTTTCAATGTTGGACCTGTCTCCAGTTTTTAGCACAGGGGACACTGGAGACTTTCCACAGTTTCGGAAACTTCTTCGACCGAATACACTAATTAAAGAATTTTATTAAAAAAAAACACGAATGCTCCGGCACAATGCTTGATCAAGCCGGATGGAATATTATCGGGGCCTGAAGTCATTTTGTCCTTATATTATCTTGAACACAGCATTCGTAATTAAGTACTTTTTATATTGCATTCTAAACTGTCCGACCACTGGGACTCTTACTCCATGTAAAAATACTCCTAACCCCTGCACAATCATTATTTGGTGTGTTGTCCTTAGAGCTGGATAAATTAACACAGGCTGTCAGCTGCGCTTTCAGCTAACAGAAGTCTGTATTATGCAACAAATTATCCCACTATCGAACCATAAGGGCAGTTGCTTTTGGAAAAAGTTGTATCAGTATTGTAATTAAGCCCAGCTCTACGTGCTCAACCTATTCTTTGTTGATTCGCGAAGACCTCTCAATATATCGGATTTTTTTTTAAGGTCCAAGCGCCCTCTATGGATGAATAACCGTAAGCGCTTCGAACTAAAGAATTACCTGTTGCGCTCAGCATCGATTGTTCGATACGTTTGCATAGGTTTTCTTTTTCGGCAACAGATGGCGGGCGGCATCGTTAGAGTCAGCTGCCTACCTCTGTGAGGGGGATTGGCGCTTGGTCCTTCGGGCCGAATAACACGGTCACCAGTTCTTGTTATAGCCAGTAGATGGTCGGAGTGCAACGCTACTACTGCTACTTCCAGAAATTTCAATGTGTACGGCGACATTCGAGTGTTCAGGTATCGCTTCTCGGCCTCTGGCTAAGATCAAAGTGTAGTATCTGTTCTTATCAGCTTAATATCTGATACGCCCCACATGTGGGGCCAGAATATTAAACTGATTTTTGGAAATTGATGGGAGGTTAGGGGCTTGCTCCACTCCCGTCGCGGGTTGGCCCGGTATTGCAGTACCTCCGGGATCGGCCCATTTTATCTAATACAAACATAAAAGTTGTAACTTGTAACACTAAATTACCATTTTTCCTGTCTTACTTCAGAAATCTCATATTGTGTGAAATTAGAAAAACGTTTAGAATTTCCATCAGATATTCAAAACCTACATGCTACATGATACATACTGGACGGCTTTGTAACTCCTATCCCTATGTTCCTCGCTTCTCGACGGTTAATAGTATTGCATTGTCCAAATCCAAAATCCTTGCCGCGTATAATTTTTGAAATACTAGGCCATAGGCAAATTACTGACGAAAAACCTAATGTGCGTTTATTTTATACCCCATACAACAGCGGGTAGGTCACTCGGAATTGTAAAGAAATCACAGAATATCAATCACTTGTTGATGAGAGTTTCAATCTAATTTTCAAACAGATCATCGGATGTCACATTATCGAAACAAATTTTACACTGTAAAGGAGCAGAAAAAACATTAATTATTAGATTTGATATTAGTAGAAATTGTTTTTCTGAAATGTGTCTTAAATCTTAAGCAATTTGAAATCAAGCGGTGGACGACAGGTGGTTAATGGCTTGAAAAACTAGAAAAAAGCTTGTAGATAGACAGGTTTATTTCCTCTTGTATGATACTGTTTGGACATTAAATGGAAGTCATCTTTATTTCTGGATTCAGTTAAACTTGGTGGAAATATATTTTTACATTATCATTACAAGATGGTTGATAACATATTTTACATTGAGCCATTTTAATCTGCTAGGCATTTGTGTAATTGGAGTATATTTATTACTGTTCAGAATTCGATATTCGAGTGTTCAGGTATCGCTTCTCGGCCTCTGGCTAAGATCAAAGTGTAGTATCTGTTCTTATCAGCTTAATATCTGATACGCCCCACATGTGGGGCCAGAATATTAAACTGATTTTTGGAAATTGATGGGAGGTTAGGGGCTTGCTCCACTCCCGTCGCGGGTTGGCCCGGTATTGCAGTACCTCCGGGATCGGCCCATTTTATCTAATACAAACATAAAAGTTGTAACTTGTAACACTAAATTACCATTTTTCCTGTCTTACTTCAGAAATCTCATATTGTGTGAAATTAGAAAAACGTTTAGAATTTCCATCAGATATTCAAAACCTACATGCTACATGATACATACTGGACGGCTTTGTAACTCCTATCCCTATGTTCCTCGCTTCTCGACGGTTAATAGTATTGCATTGTCCAAATCCAAAATCCTTGCCGCGTATAATTTTTGAAATACTAGGCCATAGGCAAATTACTGACGAAAAACCTAATGTGCGTTTATTTTATACCCCATACAACAGCGGGTAGGTCACTCGGAATTGTAAAGAAATCACAGAATATCAATCACTTGTTGATGAGAGTTTCAATCTAATTTTCAAACAGATCATCGGATGTCACATTATCGAAACAAATTTTACACTGTAAAGGAGCAGAAAAAACATTAATTATTAGATTTTAGATTTGATATTAGTAGAAATTATTTTTCTGAAATGTGTCTTAAATCTTAAGCAATTTGAAATCAAGCGGTGGACGACAGGTGGTTAATGGCTTGAAAAACTAGAAAAAAGCTTGTAGATAGACAGGTTTATTTCCTCTTGTATGATACTGTTTGGACATTAAATGGAAGTCATCTTTATTTCTGGATTCAGTTAAACTTGGTGGAAATATATTTTTACATTATCATTACAAGATGGTTGATAACATATTTTACATTGAGCCATTTTAATCTGCTAGGCATTTGTGTAATTGGAGTATATTTATTACTGTTCAGAATTATTCTCTTGAACTTGTTTTGTAAAAGTTGCAGTCTCAAAGATAGAATTATCAGCTAAATATAGACTAGTCGAACAATACAGAAAATTTAGGAGAATGATACTATTATAGATAATTTTTCTACTATAGAAGCTCAGAAACTCGTGATAAATATCTCACTTTACTACTAATTGTGTTAATAATTTCCTCATAATGAATATCAAAATTTAAGTGAGAGTCAACGAAAACTCCAAGGAATTTAAATTTGTCTATAAATTCAATAGCTACACCATCAGTATTTAGTTGTACATTGTTTTTTTTTACTCTTAACTAATATTTTACTTGTATTTAATTCGAGTTTGTTAGACGGTAACCATTTTGAAACAAGTTTCAGGTCTTCGTTTATATAAGGGCAGTCTGAATATTTTGAGTGAATAGATAAACCTAAGTGTCATCGGTGAAAATTTTGCATTTTTTTACTATGGCAGGTAAATCGTTTACGTATAAAATATAAAGAATGATACTGCCCTGTGGAATACCTAACATATTTTCAATTTTTGATGAAATAGTGTTACTATTTTTTGTAACTTGCGTCCTTTTGGACAAATAATTCTTAAACCAGTCTAAAACACTTGCTGATATACCATCTGCCTTCAATTTACCTAACAAAATATTCCTATCCACTGTTTCAAGTACTCTCTTCAAATATATAATTTGAGATTTCAGAGTATATTTTTCTTGGAAGTAGGTATATAAATGATAAAACATAATTATTGTTTAACATATTCCCAAATAAATATATTATCATAATTTACATTACTAAACATAATTTGTGAAATTGTTGTGCATTAGTGGTTCCAATGAAAACGTGACTTTCTTTTCTGGGTAAAATTCCTCAAATACTATGATCTCGTTATTTCCTATCTTTAATAATGGAGCTGGCAGATACAATGTCTGCTGAGGACCGACCTTCCAATACCTTCCCAGTACAAAATTGTTGATTATAACAATGCCTTTTTGCCATTTGCTCATATCAATAAAAGTGTCATCAGCTTCCTTAAGATCAAATTCGGCTTTGTATAGTCCCATACCATGTCTAGAAGAAGCTGCTTCATCGAACTCCTCCCAATTGGTGAGACCTCCTGTCCAGGCTTTTTTAAATTCCATAGGAAGTATTTCCCAGTTGAGTACTTCTTGATCGTTCAAGTAAACACTATCCCAAATTCCTTTAAACTGACTAAATGTGTCCAATGTACCAAAATTATTCCTGCCCATATTACAAACTACAATATCGATAGTAGCATCATCGGAAGGTTCTATATCTATGGAACTATCTTTTAGCTTCCAGAAGCCGAAACCGCTAACGTCTACTACGTTTTTGTTCAAAAGCTCACCATTTACGTATACCTGCAGAGTATCGTGAATGTAACCTAATATCTTTAAAACTGATTTCTTCTCAAGCTTCAGATTTTTCTTCCTGTAGATAATATAACCATAGCTTTGTCCGGTATTGTTATTGATTGCCAAGTGTTCCATGGCTGTTGGTTTGTCGCTACTGATTTTGTGCGGTAGTTGTGACAAAATACCATCATATCCTAGAAACTGCTTAATCCTGACTTCTGGGTAAGCCACACGTTTTGTTTCATCTGGCATAGCAGGCACATTAGTCTTTAGTGGATTATACTTCGATAAAAGGTCTTTAACAACAGTATACTTCTTACCATAATCGCCATTTTCTGTCAAAGGAGCATCATAGTCATAGCCACTCACATCCGGCTTATACGTACTTTGACCAGCATGGTCCATATTGGCCCCATTTAAAAACGCCCAAGAAGAACCACCGTGGAACATGTACAAGTTCACTGAAGCTGGAAACTTCAAAATCCTTTCATACAGATCTTTGAACTCGTCTACATTACCATTATATGGTCGTTCAGTCCAGTGCATGAACCATCCTGTCCAATACTCCATCGCCATTGATGGTTTATTCCCTTGCAACTCTTTCAATGTATCAAAATTGCGTTCTGGCTCTTTATTAAAGTTGGCCGTTTGAAATAACGTCGGAAGAGTACCTTTATCACCATGATATATAGGGTTATCAGAGGTAAAGAGAAGCTCTGTAATATTATTGCTCAACATCAACTGTCTAACTTCCTCTACGTACTTTAAGTCAGGCATAAAATGAGGTGTTATACTTCTTGTGCTGCCATATTCGTTTTCCACTTGGAATCCAATAATTGGGCCACCTCTTGTGAACTGCAATGCAGCCAAGAGTCCTAAAAGAACGTTGAAGTACCTGCGGACATGTTTCATATATTTCTCGTCCGAAGTTCTAAGTTTTATTCCTTCTTCTCTCAGAAGCCAACTAGGCAATCCGCCAAATTCCCATTCAGCGCAGATAAAAGGGCCTGGACGTACCAAAACGAACAAGTCTTCCTCCTGTGCCATTTTAATGAACTTCTCTATATTGAGGAAGTCCTGAAAGTCTGAGCCGCCATCGCCGAAGTCGTATTTGCCTGAAAAGAAATACTTCAAATTAGTCCAGGAAGTATAATGTATAATCTCATACTAGTTAATCTGCATGTTGCCAGGGCCAGAATAATGTACAAATCAGTTTTACTCCCTACGCCACTGAGCGAGGTGTTGCACGAAATATTTAATAATACAGGGTGCATCGTTCGCCAAATTAAGATGGCGGACAGAGGAGGTCTTTTTCTAAGACCCCAGGTCCCTTAAACAGTTTTTAGCCTAACGTCATTAATTATGTAGATTTTTTAAATTTTTTTAGTAAAAAGCCAAAATGTAATACACAAAGTGAAATAAAAAAAAATAAAGAGTATGTCTACCTAATGTAAGTCTCAATTTTAAATTTCTGTAAAAAAAAAGTAAAAGCGTTCACGTTCTTAGAATTCATTTAAAAACTACTCTAGCTTATCCCGATTCTAACTGTATGCCACAAGTCACAAAACAGTTGAAATAATTTCTTGAATTTTCAAATTTTGTATACAGGGTGAAATTTTTTTGGTCGGACAATAACAATGAATTTTTGTTTCTGTTGTGTAATTTACAAGTACAATGTAACTCCGGTAAAAATTTTTGTCTCCCTCGTACACAGCGGAGCAGTATCATCCGTCTCTCTCTTTTACTAGTTGAGCGGCTAACCGACAGGGACGACATGGGTCTATTTTTCCATCGAGGTTCGGCCCTGCTGAATGCGCTTTTGTTACTTCTACGTAGTGCCGCGACATGTGAGTCAGTTTTCGTTGAGTTCTGTTTTGATGATGGCTGCATTTACAAATGAAGAGTATGCAGACATGTTGTTGGTGTACGAACATGCCAACTGTGTTGCACGAGCAGCGCAAAGAATCTACGAATAGCGCTATCCTAACGTGTACCTACTCGCTACACATTCCAAAACACTTATCGACGCTTACGAGAAACCGGTACTGTGAGCAATAATGTACCAAGAGGTGTCGTAGCGCGACACAATGTTGACATCGATGAGAGGATTTTGGCACTTGTCGAGGAAGATCCTACTCAAAGCATCCGAATGTAGCTTCATCACTCGGAATTTTAATTTGGGAAGTGTGGAAAGTACACTCCTGTCCGCTCACCCTGAACCTCCTATAATTTGGGAAGTACCGCTCGGATTTTGATGAAATTTTCACACAGGGTTACTCCTATTCCAAGGATGAAAAAGCTTTAGATCTTAAAAATCAGTCCAGTGGCGGCAGAGATAGGGGAAGTACATGAGAAAATCGCACGATCTTAGGGGTTGAAATTCTGGGGCTAGGAGATGGGGGAGGGTATATCTCATTTTTTGGCGACAATATATTTATTTGCTTCCAACCACAGTAATTTTACGTACCTATCGGTAAATATTTCACATATCAAAGGTGTCCCCTGAGTTTGCTCTTAGAACTTGGAGAAACATTTACAAACGCCACACGCGTTCGATCGGAATGACTCATACGCTGAACAGGGGTGGATCAACCTAGGGTATGTAACTCCAGCCGTCGCGACAATTTAACTCCAGTCGCCGCTGAACGTTTATAGTAAATCCAAAGTTGAACGAGTTAACTCAAGTTGACGCTATGAACGCACACCAGGTAAATTGGCAATATTTACATTTGCACCACATATGAGGTCTGTAAATTAAGTGCTGAAACTGACTTGCTCTTATAATTTATTTATTCAAACAAAATTACAATTTTATGTTGTTACCCTCAAAATAACTCCATTCTGAAGGCACACAACGCTGGAGCCTTCAGCTGGTCCGTTCCAACCGTTTGAATGCTTTCGACTGTCCCAAAATGAGTTCCTTTGAGGCGATTTTTCAACTTCGGGAAGAGAAAAAAGTCACAAGGACGCAAGACAGGCGAATATGGAGTCTGAGGAGGCATAGGAATGTTTTTACTGGCCAGAAACTCCTTGATTAGCATTGCTGTGTGACAAGGAGCATTATCGTGATGCTACTACACCCAATTGTTCTTGATCTGATGAACGGTGGTGTGAGTCAAATTTAACTCTTCCCCGATCAGTCTGGCTGTCTACCGACGATCTGAATGCACAAGTTCCCGGATTCTGTCGATATTTTCATCGGTTCTTGAAAATAAAAACCTTTCGCTTAGTAATTCATCCCCAATCGACTCTCTCCCTTCTGAAAATATCTTAAACCACCGATAAACCTAGGCTGATACCAGATACTTTTTCACTTAGTAACAGTTTTACTTCAAAGCAAGGTTTCCAAGTTGAAAATTAAAGACATTTAAAATTTTAGTAGCTATTCGTACCTTATTGATTCTAATGGAAAATTACTTCGAGTAGCAAAATAATGTTACATTTACGTATACAAAACCTTTTTTGCCTAAACGATTCATACGAATATAACTTTAACATATTATTATTAACTATTTTTGCAAAGCTGGTTAAATGAGGAAAGTTAGGTACATGTTTTAAATAACCCTTAGGACTAACAAAGTGTTTTTTTCAAATTCAGGTTTATTTGAAAAATGTTTCTTGTTTCACTTCTGACGTTACGTGAACAGATATCGAGAAATAAAAGACACTCCCTAATTCCTACTCTTACATATTTTTAGCATAACGGTCGTTTCGTTTTCCAGAAATCACCATCAACTCGTCTTTTGATATGACTCTGTTATTTTTCTTACGCATTAGAGTCACTCTTAATTTTAGTGAAAAGTTTGTTTCATGCAGGTAAGATTTTGATTTGTAGTGTACTTTTAAAAGTAGCTTTATAGATTATATTCTTTTTTCAAAAGTATAATTAGGTTGAAGCATTAATTAAATCAAATATAAAGGAAATGCATTGCACTGTGACTTGGAACGTTATTATCATTGTGTATATTAATGGATTTCACGTTCTATTGGTTTTTTTAGATACGGTGCGGTAACCCATTAGTTGGACAAGGTTTGTCACAAACCGATTATGTTAGCTAACAATATGGATGAAACAGGTTTAAAGTAAGGTGAGCAACGGTTTAAAACATTGGGACTACCATGCATGGTCGTGACTCTTATGGCGATTTATCTAAATGATCTCCGACATCTCAACAATGACAGTCGACTTCCCGGTGCGATACTATAGCGCTTCCGTCACTGTGCTACGAACCCATTTATATAAGACATTCACATTTTTATAGACTTTACCTGGTTCTGGTTCATGAAGGTTCCAAGGAACATACGTTTCTACAGTATTCAATCCGGCAGCTCTAACTTTCTTCAATCTATCTCTCCAGTACTCGCTCGGTACCCTAAAATAATGGACTGCTCCACTGTATATTGAGATATTCTTGTTGTTCAGTGTGAAGTAGGGCTGGTCTACAGAGAGGCCACTTGTTATGCCTCCTTGGGTATAGTGCTCGTACAGAGTTGGCAAAGAAGTCGCCATATCTTCAAGGCCAACCGATAGCGCTATACCAGGTGTGTACTGAAATAAGAAGCATCTCACTTTTACTTTGCACGAAATTCATACTACATCAAAATGGAGAACAAGGAGCCAGTGTTATGGATAAAAAGAAATGGATTTTAGTATTGTTTCTCCCAACAATTTTCCGTTATTAGTTAGGGTGATCAGGGAGATGAAATAGTATGCAAAAAACAATACAGCAATAATCAAAGGTGCTTAGATTTTTCAAGCTGCACTATTAAGTTTTTCGTATGATACGGTTGGACTTCCAAGAATTATAAGCAATATAATGATCATTATGTGCAATATCAGAATTAACCATATTTTAGAGAACATCAGAACCCTCATTTTCTATCAAAATTCGCGGGCCCAATAACTCTGAACCGTTGCTACCAAGCGCAATATTTCTTATTGTAGACTATTTTGTACTTTTGTCAGCCATTCATGGACGCCTGCAGGAAGTACCAGTAGACCCTGTGGGAATCCGTTTTTACCCGGAAATGTGCATAGTTAGATAGTTTTATACAATTTGTGAGATTTTCAGGATTTGGCTGGTCCTGAAAGAATGTGCTACCCCTTGACATTCAAAAAGCACGTACACCTCCATAAAAGGTTATCTCTTACCGATGATCGACCAGCATGAGAAAAATTCCTGCGGGCGCCCAAGAAAAACAAAAATTGCAGCTGGCCGCGAGATAAAAGATAACACAATGTCTTATTTGCCCTTTTGTCAAAAAATGGAAAATGTCGACATTCGGATAAGTTCTTCTAGACGTTAGGTCAAAGCCCTATTGTCACATAAACCTGTCTAAGTTCTGAAAAAGTCCGGGTGAATTTGATGCAAAGGCTATAAGCCTTATAACCTATAGTAAAATAGCATATGAAATTCGCCTCCAAAGATCGATCCAGATTTTAATATACTGATCGATAAGTCTGTCCGGAAAACTGATAAGTAAACAGGTATGGTGAAAATATGGCATCATGAAGTTTATCTGACGGAAAATTTCGTAGCTAGGTATAATAAATGTGGAGGTGTGACTTGACGAACATGAATTTTTTCGATAGATTGTCGAATAGGTCAATTTGTAAATAAAACCCTAAAAAATGTAACATAAAATTGGTTTGTTTAAAAGGGCCTATCCAAATCTGATAAAATGTAGGTCTTTCTCTTTAAAAAATATACGTTTAGATCACCGCGTAGCTAGGAATCACCCTGTACAGATAAAAATACTTTCGACTTTATCGACGGACATTTTTTAAGTAAGAAATGTGAACACTGCTTACTGAAAGATTTACCGGATGTATTTATTTTGGTGCGTTTCTTTGACCTCCATTATTGTCAAAATCATGACTAATGCCAAAAGTTGAAAAACCCACATATTCGCCAATTTTCGTTACCCATTGACATTTGAGTTTGAGCTTAGATAGCTCGATTTTGGGGACGCTTCGCAACTGTATTCGAAAGCCCAAACCTATACACAGAATGACGAATTTTATGTCAATGGACACGTGACGGCGCATACATGATGGGACCTCAGACTATGACTACATAATCTCAAAACACAAATAGTAATATCTCAAGTTATGAATAATAGTGATGTACTATATTTTTACCTTGCTTGTGTCAGCGTCTCTCACGAACACTCACTTATATAACCCCATGTAGTAACTATATTTATTTTATGGTTCATATGTGTAGTGGTCACAATAAAGAACTGATATTGAATGTTTTAGTAGCAGTGTATCTAGTGCATAAACGCTGGTAAATAAAACTAGGTTGCTTCGATACGCAGTGGAATTGAATATTGGGTTACAGATTAAAATAAATAAATTCGAGGTGCGTGAAAACGCTTTATGTGGCTGGCAAACGGTATTTAGTTTCTATGGGTCACCAAACCTGCTTGTACATCGTGCTGGTCGAGGTATCCAGATGATGGTATCTACAGGGAGACCCAAGCTCCAGAAGAATTGTTTACTTGCTACGGAGTGGCTGTGCGCTAATTTAAAAAAGCGTATTATCTCAAAACCAGATGTAGATGGATGTCTGAACAACAATTTGGATACTTCCCTCAGTACCTCTTGACTCATGTCCATGTTTTCCTTACTGGTAAATGGAGCGAAATTGTCAAAACGTAAACGAAATGTCAAGATTTATGGAAAAACCTTCAGTTACCGATTTGAAATTACTCGTTTCTAGTAGTATGAGAATATGTTACCTGACAAGCTTTTATACATTTACTCTTTTGCACTCATAATCGGAGACATAAGTGGATAAAGGTCTTATGTCAAGTTCAGAGTTATTTAGGAAAACGTGATTTGATTTGGAACTTTTTCCATTATTTCATGGTTCTGATTAAAATCGCTTGTTCGATACGTTGAAGTACGGAATTTTTGTTGTATTAGATTAAGGACACTAAAAAATTGTTCATTAGAAAAACTGCAAAAATGTACATAGCTCCTTCATACATTGAAAATTAAACTGTAGTAGAATAACAAGATATGTGGAAATAGGTGTCAGGTACTTTATTATTTGAAATAGATAATATTAATAAAGTGTACAATATCAGAAGATATATGTTTAAAGTGTGATTCTTTTCTTCTTTGTATGTGGTAAGTTCTCCTGTATTATACTTTCGTAATACAATTCGTATGCTTCATCTACAAGCGTTATTTCATCTTTGAGGTTTTGTAGTGATTTATAGTTAAACCTCCAAACCTATATGTTACCCTTGTTGGCTGATACTCGAGGCGGTCCCGGTTATTTGCATTTTTCCTTCTTAAATCAACTTCAATGGATTGTATTTTTTTACACCAATTTTTGCTGCTAAGGTTAGTAGAACTGAGAAGAGCCTCCTCATGTAGATTGTTCCACAACATCGATACTCTAGGAGTAGCAAATTCAGCTCCTAGGGGTAAAAGAGCGGTAGTATCGGCCAGTTCGACACAGTTAGGGTGGGAGCCCAAAGTCACGCGGGTCTGTCTGGTAGGCATATTATGAGACGGCATCATAAAGGAGAGCTCTCCGGAGCAAATCCCATTGGCGCAGCGGTAGAAGAGAGCTAGATCGCCGTCGATCCGCTGATGCGAAAGGGTCCCGAGACTATCCGTTAGAGAAGAGTAATCGATCCACTGATCGACAGTCCTCTGTTGAACAGTATCGAGCATGGATAATGTAGCACTCGAAGCTAGGTCTGATCTGCGCCTTGTGCAGAGTAAATAGCCTAGCTTTTCCCAGCAGCTGCCGCTATTGACGAGATGTGTTCATGCCAGATCAAGTCCTCGGAGATGTGGATTCCGACCAGCCGAAATAAAGTATTTGCTAGAATTCGCCCATCCATCGAAACCTAATAAGCGCTAGGACGATTCTTGTTAGTCAAGATACAATACTGTATTTTGGAAGCAAACAGGATAAAATCGTTGCGTCCTCAAGCAGTGATAACCTCCAGGTCTCTCGCCAGAAAGGAAGGAAGTTGTCGCTAGTCTTCCTTTCTCTAGCTCACCGGGAGAGATCGGCTTGTCACTCTGGATCCCTGCATGTCATCAGCAAAGCTGTGGATCGGATTTTTTGTTCAGGAAAGGAGCTCGTTGATACGTGAGAGGAACAGTTTTGGAGCTAAGACCGATCCTTGGGGAACACCCGAGTTGAGATTGTAGGATGAAGAGGTGAAGAGGTAAAACTGTCTATTATTATTAACGTAGCCTCAACAGTAGTCTGCCACCAGCAACTAACTTATCTGTATTTAGTTGATAGTGGTTTTATGTGACATATTAGGATATTAGGATTTATCAACTGAAATAATCGCAAATTCACTTAACATGCCACCTTTATCAACTGGAATTATCTTTTTACAAAAGATTATCAATATATATATATATATATATATATATATATATATCAGTTCTAACAGGGTACATACAGTAATGGACAAAAGTATATAAACATATACGAATATTTACCTAAACACGTTTAGAAAACGAATTCTACTTCATTGCTCCATAAACAAATGCGTTATTAGTAGAAAAACTAAATTCCTTGTTTTTACATTATCTGTAATGAATACAATAGAAGTCTGAATATCAGCACTTTTGTATGAGGGCAAAAATATGTAGATAAATTCTTTTCAACATTAGTTTAGTACAGTTTCGTGGCAGAAGAGGATTAGTTTGTGTTCATCAAGTTTTGTCGAATAAGTTGAGTGATTTTAAGACCATGCCGCGTGGTTCAGAAATTTCTTTCGATGTGAAAACTAAGATCATTGAGTTATACAAAGATGGTCAACGTCAAGTCGACATTGCCAAAAATTTGAAGCTGAAGCGTGAAGCAGTTTGGGCAATATTGAACAAATATAAACAAAAAGGTATCTTGGAAGCCTCTAAGAGAAGTAGTCGGCCTAGAAAACTAAACGCTAGATCAGTTAGATTAATAAAAGTAATTTCATCCATTTAAAACCCCAAGACAAATAAAAGCCGAAATCGAGACAAAAGGAATTGTCAGTGTTTCTACGAAAACTATAAGTAGAAGATTAAATGATTTGAAGTTATTTGCACATCGCCCGAGTAAGAAGCCGCTAATCTCGAGGAAAAACCGTAAGGACCGATTACAATTTGCATGGCTGCATCTTGCTTGGAGCATCTGTAACTGGAAGAGGGTATGTTTCAGTGACGAATCCAAGTTCAATATGTTTGGATCAGATGGTGTTCATTACGTTAGACGTCCTGATGGACAAAGGTTGAACCCCAAGTACACTTTGCCCACTGTCAAACATGGAGGCGGGTCTGTTATGGTTTGGGGGTGCTTTTCGGGATTTGGGATGGGACCTTTACATAGAATAGATGGCATTATGGATAAGTTTGTATACACAGATATACTAAAGCATGTCATGTTACCCTATATGGAAGACAATATGTCCTTAAGATCAGTCTTCCAGCAAGATAATGACTCGAAGCACACTTCAAATCTCGCAAAGAAATTCTTTCTGGATGAAAAGATACCAGTTCTCAAATGGCCTTCACAGTCTCCC